CAGAGCCTTGATGGCTTATTCAGTTGATGTTTCAGAAGACATGATGCTGAAATAAACAGCGAAGAAGATAAGAAACCTGTAAGGGTACCTGTTATGAGGTGCATGGGAATGAAATGCGCATGATATGATTTCAAAGACTTTAGAGATTCAAATTCGTAAACCAAAATGAAACACACTTTTATTAGATAAAACTTTGAATTCAATTGTTCAACAAATGCCTTTAAGGCGTTACAAAAAAAAGAAATACTAAAAAGTAAATCAACACTAGAAATAATCAAGAGACATCAGCGCTCCTATGGTCGTTTCCCGTCGGTGCAGACATAATCGTTGAGGATCTGCTCGTTCTCCAACTGCCTTGTCAACTTCTGGATCTTCTGCTCTTGCTCGTGATACTTTTCTCTCTAAGTATCTCGCTCTTCTCTCAGCTGCATCCAATATCTCTTTAATGCCCGAATATCAGTAGGCATGTAAGGGTGGAGGACGGTAAGAGGAACCCCTTCTTCATCAGCAACCTCAACAATCACATGCAAGACTGCTTCGTACGACATTCCCAGCTTTTGGGCATGGATTCGAACCCATCGGAGATATGGCTCCATCGGAAGAGAGGTATTCACACCTAGCTCGTGCAGATCAGACCTGTGCACCCTATCCCAGGCTCGTATGAACCTGCAGCGCTGCTCGTCACTATCCCCTTGGAAGTCAAAGACAATGCTCGGCATCAGCGACTCATGAGGTCCTTCCCTCCTAGCTCGCCCAAACTGGCGTAAGGCCAAACAAGGGTTGTAGGTGATCCCTCCATTGATTCCTAGCAGCGGAACATTGGGGTACTCCCCACAGCGATCAATAATAGCCACGTCTTCCATGCCTTTAATAGTCCAGATGATATCAGTGTGAGTCAGGGACATAATCCTATAGGCCCAACCTATGCCTTCCTTGTTCTTCAAAACTGATTTAGGGAGGAGAGAAATAAACCACCTCGCCAGCAATGGTGTGCAACACATAAGGGTTCCCCGTTTTTGAGCAGTACAGGCATAAAGAGAGTGCAAAGTGTCACCCAAGAGAGTGGGCACAGGATTACCAGACATGAAAATCTTCACTGCATTCACGTCGACGAAAGAATCTGAGTTAGGAAACAACACCAAACCATATATGAGAAGAGCCAGAATGTCTTTAAACGCCTGAAGGTCTAGACTATCCCAGAACTGATTAGCCTTACCAACCAAGAACTTAGTCAAGAAGCCTTTTGTCCCACTACGAGTTTCCCAATTAGACATTACCTCAGCCTTTGTCAGATGGAGGGCTGAAGCAACCTCTTCCGGCCTAAGTACTTTCTCCCAACCTGTAAACGGGGTCTGCTCTAAAATGGAGATACCAAGTAGATCAGAGAACTCTTCCAAGGTAGGGACCAACTGGTAGTCCAGAAAAGTAAAACAATGGTACAGTGGATCAAAGAACTGGACTAAGACACTCATCATTTGTTTATCCATCTTGGAGGTGATCAAACCAAGGAGGTGCCCATGTCTTCTGATAAAGGAGGAAGTATCTGGAACCTTTGCAACCAATTCCTTAAGCTAAGTGGGAATCTGGACAAAGTTGATCCGAATAATGTTTCTACGCATGGGTGCCATGACCTACAAAACAGAACAAAGATGAATCCCCTCTGTCTTTGAAATGGGTTAGACCAATGCAAGATGCATGCAATGCATGATGCATGATGTCATGATAGAGAACACACCACAAATATCCACAAATAGCAAACATGGTAAGGGCACATAAGTCACACATGTAGCCCTTAGATTTCAGGCTGGCAAGGAGCTTGGTACTACCCTCTTTCAGTTCAGTTGGTTCAAACCTGTCCTAGAAATAGTAACTGGGGGTTCTAGAGGATCTTAATATCACTGACCACCCTCGATCGGTCATAATTCCAGTTTAGCAACCTTTTCTTGCGGCCTAAATCACCGCGAGAGTTTGGTCTCAATGAGTGTAGCATACTGCTACTGTTATATGGCCAAGTTGGTCAATTATAGGTGTTAAGGTCAGTTGGTGCTTAATGACCCCTTAGAAGACCCATATTCTCCTCGTTGCGCCACAAGGGATATCGGTACAAACTAAAGTGCCACACCAATGTAGCTACTGCTTCAACTGTATCGGTCTACACCGTACAATTCCCTCACAGTTTATTGCTACTTACCTAAAGGGTGTCCCCAGATCCGGGTTAGGATCTATAGTAACTCCAATTCAAACCCACAAAGATAAAGCATACAAGTCAAGCAATTTAAAACATCATGAACTATTCCTAAGGTACACCCCACTTATTAATCTCCCCAGCAGAGTCACCAGTTCTATGATACGGTGGGAAGAACTGACTGTTTTTTAGAATGCTGGTTTGTGTTTGTATTCGCAAAATGTCGCGGTAAGCAAGAGTCGCCACCGACTTTTATTTTATCCAACAAGGAAAGGGAAAAAGCATAGAAAAATTCCTTTTTCGAGATTATTCTTGGGTTCGGGGGGTAGATTATAGAAAGGGAAGGTATTAGCACCCTTTCTATCCGTGGTTATCCACGGGCTCTTAGGTACTTGCTCAATTATTTTCAAAATTGTTTTCTTTGTGCTTGTGTGTGATACGGTGGGAGAACTGACTTGAGGTTTTGCGTTTGTATTCGCACTTGTTCGGTTTAGCAAGAGTCGCCACCAACTTTTTATTTTATCCTAAAGGAAAGGTTAAAAAGCATAGGAAAAACCTTTGAGATGTTTTCGTGGGTTCGGGGGGTAGATTATAGAAAGGGAAGGTATTAGCACCCTTTCTATCCATGGTTATCCATGGGCTCTTAGTTACTTGTTTTAGATCACTTGCCTTGATTTTTAATTGCTTGAAATGATGGTGTGTGTGTGTATTTTGAAAATGTTTTGAAAAAGATGCCTTGTCTAGGCAACCGTTGTAACAATTCTTTACTCAAATGTTTTACAAAAGGTGTTTGTATTTTTGAAAAGATATTTCAAGGTTTTGAAAGTTTGTTTTGAAAGTGTTTGTGGAGTGGGTTTTGAAAAGTAGGCAAGTGTGTTTTGCAAGTTTGATCAAGTAACTAAGAGTTGTCTACCCCTAAATTTACTCAAAGATTTTTCTCATGTTTTAACCCTTTTAACAATGTTGTTTCACCATTGTATTTGATGGACAATCTTGTGTTAGGATGTTAACGGGACAGGCGCAGGTCATCATATGGACCATGAATGCAATGGTGCCAAGTGTATTTGGCAATTTTGCTTGAAGGGACTATGATCATTTTTTAGGCAACTTCGAAAGCGTCATCGAGGGACTATGATCATTTGATTTGTTTTGTTTTGCCAAAGAAACTCAACATGCAAGCATGGCCCATTTTGGAAGGCAACAAGCGGGATTACCCTAGGGGTGCAAGTGTGAATTGTGTATTGATTGTCATGCATTTGTCTTTGTATTAGGTTATCTAGCGGTTGATTTTATTTACACACAAACCCTAGGTCTAAACATGGTATAATTGAAAGCGATAAATTGCGGGAATTTAAAGTCTACGCTATTACAAATAAGTATCCGGGAATGGGGGTACAAATATTTACAAATGGGGATGAGACTTATTAGGAGAGTAGTGTCCAAATAAATTTACAACCAAATCGAATCGCATTCTCAAATGTAACATGTAGCAATGTACAAGAATAAAAGACAAGCAAATGTATTGGTGTAAGTGCATGTGATTATTTACAAGTGAGAAAGATGTTTACTTAATGCAAATTTAAGTATTTATTAAGTATTATTATCTTTTTTTGTGTTTTTGTTAAATATGTACAAACAAAAGTTTTTAAGAAAAGAAAAGTATTTAACTAAAAAAATCTATTTTTTATGTATTTTGTTAATGTTTTATATACAAAGTTTAAATTAAGCAAAAATGCTAAACTTAATAAACCTAAGTTTTATGCTTTTTTTAATTGTTCTAAAATAAAATATAAAACAATCTAGAAAATTTTGTATGTATATATAAAAAGGTTAAAGTGTTATCTTTTTATTTACAAAATTCAATTATGTTATAAAAAGAAAATAAAAGAGTATTGTTAATAAAATTTAATGTAAAAAAATTAGTATGTTAATTTGTTTAACAAAAAAAAAGATATAATGTGACAAAAAAAGGTATTAGTTAAAAAAAATAAAAATGGGCTTAAGGGGAAAAGCTGGGTGGCCCAAATAAAACAAAAAAAGACTAAGACCGGGGGGGGGGGGGGGTACGCGCTAGATTTATTGGGCTTTAGGCGATCTGAATGGGGCAAGGCCCATTGCGTTTCACAAATGTTTTTTAGGGTTTTCAGTGCTTTGTGTCATTTGGAATTAGGGTTTGTTGAGTTACAGAGGCGCCGTTTATCTTCTTCTCCGTCCTTCGTCTTCATCCTTCTCAACACATGGCCACTGAACGCTCGCTCTCCGTCTCAGCTGACAAAACGCCACCTCCACTTCTTCCTCCTCAAGATCATTCAGGCCATGAAAAAAAGGTAGCCTCGTTTCCTTCTCAACGCATTTGTAGGTTTTCAGGTTTTCATTCTTGCATGTTTTTATTTTTGTGTTCTGATTCTTGATTATCATTATGTCTTATGAGGTGTTTTAAGGAAAGGGAAAAGGGAATTTATACCTTTGCTGACTTTTGGAGATGGAGGAGTGGAGAAATGGACTTGGAGGCGCTTGGACAGCTAAAGGCGGAGGAAGGATGATGCTGGCTTGCTCTGGGAACCTGGTACTTGGTATTTTGTTCTCCTTTGTGGTTTTATGATGATAACTGAAAACCCTGCTTGTTGCTTCTTTTCCTCTTCTGACTGGTTGCCCTTTGCTTCTGTATGCTTACTCTTTGCTTCTGTATGCTTGCTCTTTGCTTCTGTATGCTTGCTCTGAGAATATTCGTTGAAATATTGATGTTGATTTGAGTATTGTTTGTTGATGTTTATAACCCTATGGTGAGGTTGCTCTGAGGGTGTGGTTGGTTTGAATGCTTCAAGGCTTGTATGCTTAACACAGTTTTGAAAGGTTGGTGAAGCAGGTTAGTTGGGGTGTCTGGTTTTGTGTAGTTTGGTGTTTTAGGCCTGGTTGGAATTTTGTTTGGATAAAGGCTTGTGGTTACAGGCCTTTAGGCAGGCTGAAGCTCACAGGCTTGAAGTTTGTTTCTGGTATATTGTTTACAGGTTGATGCTTTAGGCTTGTGTTTGAGATCTATGCAAGCTTAAGGTTTATGCAGGCTTTGTTTGAGATTACAGGCTGCAGGGCTTTGTTGTTGGAAGTCAGGTTACAGGCTTGACTTGAGCTTCAAACCAGCTTGAGGCAACTCTGGTTTGTTGGGGTTCAGGACTTGAATGCTGGGTATGGCTTTTTCTGGTGTAGGCTTTGTGTTACAGGTTTATGCAGGTGAAGGCTTGTTTGGTTTTGACAGGCTAAAGGTTCATCAGTTTGATATGCTTCAGGCTGAGTTTTGAAAGGCTTGTGTTATGTTACAGTTTGAGGCAGTTTGGAAATCTTTGATCCAGTTTGTCTATTTCTTGGTATTTTCTGCCTCCTCTTGCTTGTTCTATAACAGTTTGTTTCATATCCTTAAGCCTCAAGCCTGCTGTAAGCCTTTCTCTCCTCTCTCTTTCTCTCTCCACAGATTTAAAAAGCATTTTATTGCTTTAAACTGTACCTTACTCTGAAAAAGTGACTGGCTGAAAATGATGAATTTGAATGTTGCTTGTATGTTAGCCTTTCCTCTGCATACTTTCCATATTTCCTGCATATTGTGTACTTCTTGATATCTTTCTATATCTTCTTTGGACAGCTTTTTGTACTTATTGACAGCTTTATATCTTTTGATATCTTTGGACAGTTGGTTGACATCTTTGGCTTAGTTTGGTTATGTGCTATTCAGTTTGCCTTTGTGCATCAGTTTGGACTTTGGTTTGGATTTTTGGAATTATGCAACTTTGTTGACATTTTGAATTTGTGCAATATTGTAGCTTTGTGCATTTCATATTTTTTTGCAAGCATATTTCTATCCCTCTTTGTGAACCAAGAATTTTCTTGTGATTTGCAGAGAGGGTGAATAAACTGATTCCGGCCAGTCACTTTTAATGATGAGCTTTGAATATTTGTCTGCTTTTTTTCTTAATTCATCTACATTTGACTTTTTCCCTTTCTTTGTTTTTGCAGATGAAAATCAATTGAGCAATGGGGAGCAGCAAATAGATGACGAAGACCTAGGAAACTTAGGATGCAATTTTATTTCACTTTTAATCATTGTAACAAATATTATTATAAATACTTGTAAATAATTACTGTATTTAAATAACACTTGTACAAATAATTAAAAATAAATAAAAGTCTTTTTATTGATATTCCTTTTAATTCTTCTTCAATTGTTTAGTTAATTATTCATATTTCTTAAATTATAATACCTGGAAGTAAATCCCAACTATTCTAACTCAAATGATAAATAATCAATAAACGTCCGGCGTTCCGAATAATCAAAGCATTGCACAGTTAATCAAACAAACGTCCACATGTTTTTCCTTTTACTGATTAGATCAAACACTGCAAATTCTCAATTCAAATACCTCAATTTTTATCCCATCTCAAATCAAATTCCTTAGCCTTTATCCCAGATGTTTAGACAGAAATTTTGAACCAATGTCAAAACAGTGTAACAACCAATTAAAACAATGTGGATTCAAAAACACTATGGATTCAAACTCTTCTGAAACTGCGCGCGCAAAACCCTAATTCTTGATTAAATGTCAAAGAAACGCCTGCCTGATCAAACCCTGAGCCAAACTCAAACAAAACCTAGCAATCTGCTTGAACTGTTCTAGAGTCCATGAAAACCCTAAATTAGATAGACTGTTAAGAAAAAGTCTGTTTGACTGATTCTTAAGCCAATCTGAAAAGTCACGGAAAAGCCCGAAGCTGTGATTTCTTGTAAAAAGAGGAGGGAAAATTTTGGGGTACAACATTGTGAGTTTGAAAAAGTTTTTGTTTTGAAACTTCGATTTAACTCTTACTTCTGTCCTCAAGAGTGTAATGAAGTATTTTGAAAACTTTATTCGAAAAGGAGTGTAAGTGTGAAAAAGGTTTTGTTTTTTGAAAGAGCAAGTATCTAAGAGCTAATCTACCTACTCGAAAAAGGAATCGTTCTATGCTAATTTCCTTTAGACAATGCTATTCCACTATTAGTGAGTAGGTAGCACCGTCATTGGAATTTGAGGATCAATTCGAATGCGGGACATACAGTCACTAAAGCAATGTTAGGACGCCTTAGAGGTAACCCTAATGTCTTAGATCATTTGTTTGAGGAAACAATATCCGAGGCAACCATTTCGAGGCGACTATGATCTTTTAGACAAGAGGACAACCTCTAAAACGACCTATACTCAATAACCGAGTACGAAGGCAACCTAGCGGGGTGTACCCAAGGAGTGCGCATGTGCGAGTGTCTCATTTTCAGTTTTTTTTTAATCTTTGCACATGTTAAGGGTGATCTAATTTGATTTTAAGATTAACATTCAGTCTTGTCATGCAAACCCTATTATCAAACATCTAGCAGTTATAATTTACGGAATTAAAATGCGGAATTTAAATTACAAGGCGTCGGGTATTTACATCGCCAAAGACAAACCTTTGAAAAATAAAATAAAGCGGTAAAAATAATTAAATGTCCTATTTAGCTATTACAATCTGTAAGCAGATACATAATTGGATAAAAATAAATAGAGCGCGCGGGAAATTAAATCGAGTGCGAATTAGGGTTTTGACCCTTTTGAAAGAAAAATGCCTTTTTTTGTTGTTTTTGGTTGTTTTTATTTTAAGAAAAGAAATTAATTCCTAAACTAAATAACTAAATTAAATTAATTAAATTAATTAATGAAAAATAATAATTTATGACATATTTTGGGTTTTTTATTATTTTAAGAAAGAAGATAAAATTAATTAAGTTAGTAGTTAAAACCTAATTAAATCTAATTAATTTTAATTATTTAGAAAATAAATTAGAGTTTTCAAAAATTAAAAACCTAAATTAATTAGTTAGTAATTATTAATAAAATTTAAAATAAAATTCTGAATTAAAAAAAAGTATTTTTGTGATTTTTGATAAAAAGGAAAAATTATGATTGGTTAGTAATTAATAAAAATAAAGTAATTAAATTAACTAAACAAAATAAATAAATAAAAAAAGAGGAGGAATGGGCCTGATTAGGAGGTGTTAGAAGCAATTTTGTAGGCCAAACAATGTTGGCTCGTTTGACCATCTGGGATCCAGTGTGGGCGCATTGACTTGGCTCCTGGTGGACCTCCAACATGGACCACCAGATCTGGCCCATTGGCCATCTGGCGCTTGGATCATGAGGGAGCATGGTGTGGATCTGGACTAGCGTGTGCATTGGAAAGCCTGAAAACAAAAATCATTGAGAAAGGGGGGGACCTGGGATTCGAACCCAGATCCTGAAGGGATATTTATTGCCAAGGTTACCACTGAGCCACGCTGTTTTGTTTGTTATAATAATGCCAGCAATATAATATATATCAAAACAAAACAATTGCCAGCAAAATAAAAAAAGCGCGCAAAATATTTGAATTGGCCAATAGATGGATGACATGAGTTCATCCCTGTACTTACAACCCTGTAAACTTACCTGCGGATTTTCATCCGCAACTAAAAATGCAGCATCATTCCAAAATCTTTCTCATGCAATAAAAATGGTTTTCAAGGTTAGGGTTGAGTTCGTCATGATCCCCTGATCACAACTATGTCCTTCATATGGACCAATTACACCTGAAATAGAAAACCCTAAAAAAACTCCAAGAATCCTAACTATGGTGATTCTTGTTACAGATCATATAAATGAAATTCGTTAATGCCAAAAGATTGCAAATGTTCTTGTGATCACAAATATGCTATTAGTTTGTTCAATGGATGCCAGAATAGTGTGAATCGAAATCAAGAACAGGGGTAAGTTGCGTGAGACTTACAGTGCGTATGGGGGTCTGGAAACGCGTTTTCTGGATCGGGTTAGCTTGTGTGCGTTGCCAGGAATCGATTGAGATACGTCTCAACTCTTGAAAATGCCTCTAACCTGGATTTTGATCTCAAGCTTTTTTGTGATTTTTTTCACTTTTGTTCTGCCTCCACCAATGCTCTCCAACCCTGATTTTCGTGTGCTTGGCTTGCTTATGTATTACTCAGTGCATTAGTGTAAAGAACTTGGTCCAAATCTCTCCACATTGATATTTGGATATTTGATTTGATCTCCATTTACAAACTTGCCAAATTTGCTTGATTTTAATCTTTTTTGCACACATTTGATTTGATACGAATTTGATGATAATAATAGCTGCATTTGGAGCCTGAAATAGCCAAAAAAATCATATGTTATCAAAGCTTTAGATTTTATATGATTTTATTTGATTTAAAATAAATTAATTCAAATAAAAATCAAATTAAATAGTAAAAATGAGATATGGACACATGGCTGGAGCTAGGGCACGTGGGAAATAATGCAAACTCAAATTAAGTGGAAAAGAATGGGCCAATTTGGCAAAATTTGAAGTTTTGGGGATAGTTGACTTTTGGAAATTTTGCAAAAAAGTCCAACTTCAACAATGCATAAGTTCTTCAATTTTGAACTTTTGGAGATGTTATTGGACTTCCTAGAAAGCTTGAGATGTCATATAATCAACCCTTTTGGTCTCATCTCATTTTGATATTCCATGCTCAAGTTATAAGCTTTGAAAAAAAGGTGTTTTTGTTGACTTTCAAAAATGACCTATAATGTCCAAATTCATAACTTCTTGTGAGTGCATTGTTTGAACTTGGGGTATGAAGATGGATTGTAGGGAATTGAATCCTCTTAAAAATGAGCTTTTATGGGTCATTTCTCATAAAGTATGAGAAAGTTATGCTTGGTCAAAGTTGAGTTGACTTTTCCTACAAAACCCTAATTTAGCAACTTTTGAGTCTTGATGAATTTTGAGCAATCCTTGATGAATCATGATCAAACCTTGATAAAATGATGAAATATCCTTCAAAATGAGAATGTTGACACAAAATCTTGAAGTTTGACTGTTTGTAGGTCATAATTGTCTTTTGCCCTAACACAATCGATTTTTGGACCTTTTGAGCAATTGATTGAGCAAACTTTCTCTGCAAGGCTTGAAACTTGAAATGGATGACCTTAAGAGCATATGAGGACATTGGGGGAGCACTTGAGGTCATTTGGACTCAAGGATCTTGATGAAACACAAAACCCTAATTTGGGGTAGACTGCCTTAGGAGATAGCTTGTCTGACCAAGTCTCGAGCAACCTTGAGCAACTTGGAGATTTTTCTTGCAATGTTTTAAGAAATATTGGAGGGCAAATTTTAGGTTACAACAGCAGGGATTTGCATGAAATTGACTCGAATGGTATTTCTGCGCATAGAGGCCATGATCTGCAAAACAGAACAAAGA